GAGCATGTGGGATAGACGAGAGCAGGCCGGTTATATCGATTAGGAGATGCACGGGGCCAGTGATAATTGCGACACATGAACAGGAATGGAGAAAATACACATGATTATAGCATGAGGGGCTAAAAAACCAAATAAAATAAAATACTAGAGATACTTAGCTCAATCAAAGTAGGATTTGCCTCCTCTTTGCCTCCCTCGTGACTCCAACAGGACTCCAGCAGGACTCCAACAGGACTCCAATGTCTTTGTCAGTATTTGACTCCAGCAGGACTCCAATGTCTTTGTCAGTCTTCGTCTGACGCTGAAGTTGACGCTCCAGGAAAGAGCTACCTAAAATGGACACCTGATTGCTGAGTTCTCACAGCTGTGGGGCCATACCCCTCTAATTAGTTAACTCTCTACAGCTGATGGGCGACAGCAGAGTCTTCCTGCCTATTGTAATGCAGGGTTGAGACGAGTGACCCACTGAGACCTGTGTAACAGGTTCTGTTGAGCAGATCTGAGATTTAAAATCTCACAAAAGCGCCATTTCAGCTACAATAACTGCAGAACAATTATACAGAGTAGAATAAATGAAACAGAGAAGTCTATTTAAACAAGAATATAACTTACAGTGATTGCTGCGTCAATAGGTAGTGTCGTCACCCGGTCTAGATGCACACTGAGTTCTTCAGATTTATAATAGCAACAAAAAAAAAATAGCGAACCAGCACAAGTTAGACAACAAAATCAAAATCCACAAACAGTGTTCTGAGTGACACAGTCCAAAAAAAATACAAGGAACCAACACTGTCCCTTTTGACCCCATAGCTCCTCCCACAGGCTCACCGTCAACAGGTGACACAATCAACTCAAAACCACATTTCAACAAAAGAATCCGACCCAAACATACACAGGTTAACCACCTCTTAACATAATCATTCCCCGTAATTAACAAATGTAAAATAAATAAGAAATTGCATGGTTCATTTGACGGAAGAGAGCAGGAAATGTTTGGTGTGTGTGTGGTGTGTGTGTGTGTGTGTCGGCTGTCAGTGGCAGAGTCAGTCACTCTGTGACCCGCTCTGTCACAGCCACACACACACACATACACACACACACACACACACACACACACACACACACACACACACACACACACACACACACACACACACTCTCTCTAACACACACACATACACACACTCTCTCTCTCTCACACACACACACACACACACACACACACACACACACACACACACACACACACACACACACACACACCACACCTCACACACACACACATACACACACTCTCTCTCTCACTCACACACACACACACACACACACACACACACACACACACACACACACACACTGGATGTCTCTAATACCTCATTCACACCAACGGTGTTTCAGGGCCGGTTCGGAGCTGGAGCTTGAAAAGCACCGGGTTTTCCTGTTCACACCGCAGCGGAGCAGCCTCTTAGCTCCGGAATCCGGTTTGTTTCAAGCACCAAATAATTGTCCGGCTAGAGCAAAAGCACCGCATACGTCACGCTTACGTCGAGGCGGGGTCAGGGGCGGGATCAACTCCTGAACAACAACAAAAAGCCTGCGATGGAGAAACTTAACAAGCAGCAGTGGTCCACTGAAGAGACCAGTTACCTACTGGGAATATGGTGTTCCGAAGAGGTACAGAGGAAGCTGGAGCACAATCGGCCATTGTTGTTGTTGTCGGTGTGAGCTGTGAGGGGTTTCCGCGTGGTTTGGCTAACGGTTACGTCATGACGCAAACGATGACGCAATGATGCAGCACCAGTCGGACTCTGGGCAGTGTGAAAAAAGCCGGAGCTAAACCGAAGAACCGGTTCTGAACCTGAAAAGCTCTAGCACGGAGCTTGAACCGGAGTTGCGTTGGTGTGAATGAGGTATAATACATACAGTTGCAAGAAAAAGTATGTGAACCCTTTGGAATTACCTGGATTTCTGCATAAGTTGGACAAGCCACTGCTGTCCACGTTTGAAGTTTGCAAAAGAGCACCTGGATGTTCCAAAAATATTCTGTGGACAGATGAAACCAAAGTTGAGTTGTTTGGAAGGAACACACAACGCTATGTGTGGAGAAACATCAAAACCTCATCCCAACTGTGAAGTATGGTGGAGGGAGCATCATGGTTTGGGGCTGCTTTGCTGCCTCAGGGCCTGGACAGATTGCCATCATTGACGGAAAAATGAATTCTCAAGTTTATCAAGACATTTTGCTGGAGAACTTAAGGCCATCTGTCCACCAATTGAAGCTCAACAGAAGATTGGTGATGCAACAGGACAACGACCCAAAGCACAGAAGTAAATCAACAACAGAATGGCTTCAACAGAAGAAAATACGCCTTCTGGAGTGGCCCAGTCAGAGTCCTGACCTCAACCCAATTGAGATGCTGTGGCATGACCTCAAGAGAGCGATTCACACCAGACATCCCAAGAATATTGCTGAACTGAAACAGTTTTGTAAAGAGGAATGGTCCAAAATCCTCCTGACCGTTGTGCAGGTCTGATATGCAACTATAGGAAACGTTTGGTTGAAGTTATTGCTGCCAAAGGAGGGTCAACCAGTTATTAAATCTAAGGGTTCACATACTTTTTCCACCCTGCACTGTGAATGTTTACATGGTGTGTTCAATAAAAACATGAAAACATATAATTGTTTGTGTGGTTTTAGCTTAAGCAGACTGTGTTTGTCTATTGTTGTGACTCAGATGAAGATCAGAACACATTTTATGACCAATTTATGCAGAAATCCAGGTAGTTCCAAAGGGTTCACATACTTTTTCTTGCAACTGTATGTAAAGACACACACACACACACACACACACACCACACACACACACACACACACACACACACTGAACATCTCTACCACACACACACACACACACACACACACACACACACACACACACACACACACACACACAACACAACCACACACTCTCTCTCTCACACAGACACACACTCACTCACACACACTGAACATCTCTACCACACACACACACACACACACACACACACACACACACACACACACACACACACACACACACACACACACTGAACATCTCTACCACACACACACACACACACATACACACACTCTCTCTCTCACTCACACACACACACACACACACACACACACACACCACACACACACACACACACACACACACACACACACACATACACACACACACACACACACACACACACACACCACACACATACACACACACACACACACACACACACACACACACACACACACACATGCACACACTGGATGTCTCTAATACACACACATGCACACACTGGATGTCTCTAATACATAAAGACACACACACAAACAGGCCAAAGGCCTTTGCCCACCTAACCATTGTTTTTATGGGTGAACCTCCCAATGATTGATGTCAGACATCTCATTTCGTTTTTCTACACCTCACACTCTCCAAAACAAAACACCCCTTCAAAAGAAAAGCCCTATAGATGTAATGCTACTTGAACTTATACTACTACTACTACGTACATGTGATATCTAACTCCTTCAGCCTACTTTCAGCTGCACAAACTATTCAACTATTAACTTATTCAGCTATTGCAGGACATTGAGGCTATACATGTTGTTGTTTATACCTTTTTTCAAACTTTTTCTTTGAAATATTAAACTTCTTCACTATGTTTCCTCCTCTTCCAGTTTAACATTTCACTTTCAAGTTTTCAACAAAGTCATTGCAATGCATTTCAGCTGTAACATTTTGATTCAAATCATTTCACTTTTCTGCATTTCTCCGCTAAGTTCAGCAACACACTTACTTGGTCTCTGTAGCTAAAAGCAGCTTCCATTCAGCTAATAACATATTCAGCTTTTTCTGCATTTTCAGCTAAATTCAGCCACAAATGTTCACAGTTTACAGCATTCACACACATTTTTTGCAGGAAATGCATTTTCTAGTTCAGTCTGATCATCATATGTTGTCAATCAAATAAAAATAAAACCACACCCACACAATATAGTTTTGGAGTGTTAAAGTGCTATTAAAAAAACAAAAACCCAATCATGCTTTATTCCTCATGACTCATGTTCAATGATATACAAATATGAACCGAAAGAAAACACTAACAGTTGTGAAGAGGGAATGGAGAGCAACACAATGCTCTACAATGCTCTACAACAAGCGGAATAAGTAATAATCCTGGGGAATAATAATAGATACTTTTTCTAATATTTATCATTTTACCAACTGTTTATTTCCTACCTTACACATAACACACTCTTTAAATTGAGTTGATTCTTGCATATTTGTACAGCTTGTGAAACTTGTTTTTGTAATATTATTTTGTTTTCACCTGACATATTAAATTAACTGTTTTTATGGTAGTGTATCTCAACTTATCCAATTATATAATTTTTGTAACACTGATTGACCTTGAAACTAGGATGGTTTATGCAATCTTGTCATCAATTTCATTTTCGTTTCGTTATCGCTGCATAATAGGGGAGGTTTCTTCATTAGCAATTTGTTGGCTTCTTACCTCTCTTGTGCAATGTTCTAACTTTCTCTTAAATTCTTTATGTTTTTTAAAATGTTAAACATATATATGTACAATCAAACAAAAAACGTTTAATGCTAAAAAGGAATCCGAGGAGCAATAGTTTATATCTTTATCTTATAACTGTTGAATAATATCTATATTGTTGCTATTGTTATGTTTATTTCAATTTTATTTTTTTAACGATTATCAATTTAAACCTTTAAATACTTCGGCCCATCTGTGGGAATTTTGTGTTGAACAAGAAAATGTATTAAATATTTTGAAAAGAAAATATTTTGAGTGCACCCATTATCCCAGCGGTTCTGTGTATATTCTTTGTGCTCCACCCCCTCCAGAACACGAGGTGGCGGTAAACGTGTTGTGCAATTGAAATCTCACTAAAGCGGCAGAAGAAGAAAGAAGCCGACTGACAGTCAGCCAGTGCATTCTGGGATATGTTATGCACAATAATGGCGGTCAATCAGCAGACTTGCAATTCTCTTACACTAACGTCTCTACTTTTAGCATTTCTTCTCCAAACGTGTCGGACTTTTGCCGAAGAATTGAATTGGGATGAGAATGGCTACGTGTTGTACTGCCCGTGCATGGGTAACTCCCTTTTTGTAGCTGATACTTTTAAATTTTAAATTCATGTTGCATGAAAACAGTAGAGCTAGCGAAGCCCAGACTTTAGACGTCCATTAGTTTACAGTGGAGGTCTGTGGAGGCTCATGATGCATACACATGTCGCACGACCTGGGGGGAAATACAGTGCAAGAAAAGCAAAGATGTTCTAATGTTTCAATATCAGAATAACAAAAGAAACATATCTTTAGATGTCATTCTAATCGGTGGTGTAAGAAAGTTAGCAGCTAACTGAGTGGAGTTTATTTCTTTTTTTAATGAGTAGCCTACCAACAACATAGCTTTCAGAGTCTTCAAATAATAAAATCCAGAAGGCACAGGTTCATACAGAAGACAAGAATAAACATAACAACAATTGACAAAACTCATTGTCAAATGTAGGGTTTGCTTTTATAAATGTGGATTTATGAATTTAAAATGTACACAGAATAACAATATTATTGAAAAAATTATCTATATGGTTGTCTAAAGTTAAATGAATTATTTATTTTTTTGAACAAATCACACATTTTGGAAAAGCCTACTGAGTGGCGCTTAGGACAAGCAGTGTGTAATACTGAGAGTAATAATAGAAGCACAACGTCCCCTCCGGTCAGTCAGGTGTCCACTTTCTGAAGAAGAGGTATAACGTTTACTGTTGATGCTGAGAGCATAAAGTGCCCACTGTTATTGTTTAGGTCGCTTTGGAAACCAGGCAGATCACTTCCTGGGATCTCTGGCCTTTGCCAAGATGTTGAACCGAACCCTGGCAGTACCTCCCTGGATAGTGTACCGCCACCACACACCCCCGTACACCAATGTGAGTACAGGCAGAGAGCAGCACACACTGACAGACATACAGCATTTATCAGAGAGAGAGCTTCCAAAGGGACATCTGAGTGTTTAAGCAGCCAATTCATAATAATCAGAATAAAAACAACATGAGGACACAGATAGGATCCATTGGGTGTCTGATTTAGAATCTGTATGTAGCTATGTGCAATATGTGATTTTACTATTGTTATCTAGCTGCTATTACAATACTTTCTTCTTGCTACAATTGACTTATTTCATGAATACTGCTGCTGCTACTTACTGGCACATACTTACTACTTACTTACACATTCAGGTTCCTACCTGAATGTGTGCTTCTTTAAATTGTAAAAATTAAATATGTGAATGCCTTTCATCTTATAGTGTTTTATTTGTTGTCTCTATCTATACTTTTGCTGTAAATATGTCAATGTCCCCTCTGTGGGACAAATAAAGAATTCTGATTCTGATGTATTGGATAGACAGTCATGATAGTGTCCCGTAATGTATTATGTGCTACATAAGTGGGCATTTCAAGTAGATATAATTTAAAGCTATACAGTAAGGTGTTGCACACTTAACTGCACACTGAAAATAGATAAAGGGATGGGAATCCTTACTGGACCCAGTATTACCTGTCACCAATTTATCGATGCTTTTTAATGTTTTGGCTTCTCAATTGGACACTCAACAAAAATATAAACGCAACACTTTTGTTTTTGCTCCCATTTTTCATGAGATGAACTCAAAGATCTAAAACATTTTCTATATACACAAAATAACCATTTCTCTCAAATATTGTTCACAAATCTGAAAAAATCTGTGATAGTGAGCACTTTTCCTTTGCAGAGATAATCCATCCCACCTCACAGGTGTGGCATATCAAGATGCTGATTAGACAGCATGATTATTGCACAGGTGTGCCTTAGGCTGGCCACAATAAAAGGCCACTCTGAAACGTGCAGTTTTGCTTTATTGGGGGGGTCTGGGGGGGTCAGTATGACCACCATTTGCCTCACGCAGTGCAACACATCTCCTTCGCATAGAGTTGATCAGGTTGTTGATTGTGGCCTGTGGAATGTTGGTCCACTCCTCTTCAATGGCTGTGCCAAGTTGCTGGATATTGGCAGGAACTGGAACACGCTGTCGTATACGCCGATCCAGAGCATCCCAAACATGCTCAATGGGTGACATGTCCGGTGAGTATGCTGGCCATGCAAGAACTGGGATGTTTTCAGCCTCCAGGAATTGTGTACAGATCCTTACAACATGGGGCCGTGCATTATCATGCTGCAACATGAGGTGATGGTCGTGGATGAATGGCACAACAATGGGCCTCAGGATCTCGTCACGGTATCTCTGTGCATTCACAATGCCATCAATAAAATGCACCTGTGTTCGTCGTCCATAACATACGCCTGCCCATACCATAACCCCACCACCACCATGGGCCACTCGATTCACAACATTGACATCAGAAAACCGCTCACCCACACGACGCCACACACGCTGTCTGCCATCTGCCCTGAACAGTGAAAACCGGGATTCATCCGTGAAGAGAACACCTCTCCAACGTGCCAGACGCCATCGAATGTGAGCATTTACCCACTCAAGTCGGTTACGACGACGAACCGGAGTCAGGTGGAGACCCCGATGAGGACGACGAGCATGCAGATGAGCTTCCCTGAGACGGTTTCTGACAGTTTGTGCAGAAATTCTTTGGTTATGCAAAGCGATTGTTGCAGCAGCTGTCCGAGTGGCTGGTCTCAGACGATCTTGGAGGTGAACATGCTGGATGTGGAGGTCCTGGGCTGGTGTGGTTACACGTGGTCTGCGGTTGTGAGGCCGGTTGGATGTACTGCCAAATTCTCTGAAACGCCTTTGGAGACGGCTTATGGTAGAGAAATGAACATTCAATTCACGGGCAACAGCTCTGGTGGACATTCCTGCTGTCAGCATGCCAATTGCACGCTCCCTCAAAACTTGCGACATCTGTGGCATTGTGCTGTGTGATAAAACTGAACATTTAGAGTGGCCTTTTATTGTGGCCAGCCTAAGGCACACCTGTGCAATAATCATGCTGTCTAATCAGCATCTTGATATGCCACACCTTCGAGGTGGGATGGATTATCTCGGCAAAGGAGAAGTGCTCACTATCACAGATTTTTTCAGATTTGTGAACAATATTTGAGAGAAATAGTTATTTTGTGTATATAGAAAATGTTTTAGATCTTTGAGTTCATCTCATGAAAAATGGGAGCAAAAACAAAAGTGTTGCATTTATATTTTTGTTCAGTGTATATAAAACGATACATGGCTACTTTTCATGAATGAATGCCAAATTGAATGGAGACTGTTGGCTCTGGTCTTACCATTTTGACAATAACAAAGCATTGGAATATGACCACCTTATTATTTATAGCGGAATGACCCTATGCTGCTTCATTCCGTTGTGTTCTCTCCAGGTCCATGTTCCCTACAGTGAGTTCTTCCAGCTGGAGGCCCTGTCGGCCTACCACCGTGTGCTCAGTCTGGAGGCCTTCATGGAGAAGCTGGCCCCCAAACACTGGCCCTCCGGACAGAGAAAAGCCTACTGCTTTGAGACTGCTGCCCAGAGGAGTGCAGACAAGAAATCCTGCCCCATGAAGGTGAGAGGAGTCAGTGTGTGATCCACCAGTGTCAGGTATCTAAGGAGAAGTATATTTATCTGATTACAGGTGCATCTCAATAAATTAGAATGATGTGGAAAAGTTAATTAATTTCAGTAATTCTATTTAAAAGGTGAAACTCATATATCATATAGATGAATTTCACACAAAGTGAATTATTTCTAGCGTTTATTTGTTTCAATCTTTATGATTAAGGCTTACAGCTAAAGAAAACCCCAAATTCAGTTTCTCAGAAAATTTGAATATTACACAAGGGCAATGAAAAAACGTATTTTTAATACAGAAATGTCGGCCTTCTGAAAAGTTTGTTCACGTTTATGCACCCGGTACTTGGTTTGGCCTCCTTTAGCATGAATTACTGCATCAGCCTGTGGCTCTGCTGAGGTGTGACGGAGCCCAGAGTGCTTAGATAGCGGCCTTCAGCTCGTCTGCGTTGTTGTAGGGTGTTGTCTTCCCCTTGACAATACCCTATTAAGGTTCAGCTCAGGCCACTTTGCTGGCCAATCAAGCACAGTAATTCCATGGTCATTAAACCAGGTATTGGTGCTTATGGCAGTGTGGGCAGGGGCCAAGTCCTGCTGGAAAATGAAATCAGCATCTCCATACAGCTGGTCATAAGAAGAATGTTAAAATGCTTTATTTATTGTTATGGTTCCAAATATTTGTCAAAATGTGCTTTTTAGCTAATCTACTTGTTATCTGTATTTTAGCTTCTTGGTTTAACTTCATTCTAAATGAAGTCTCTCCCTCAATGTCTTTCCAAGTTAAATTAAAGAATGAATACAATCAGCCTCATTTGAGAGAAGGTGCTGCAGAGCCTGAGCCTGTGTCAGTATTGATGTGAGGGTGAAATGCTGCCCCCTGGTGGCTCATGGGAACACGCTCAGAATCATGTTGCTGCTGTTACACTGTCTTTGCTCTGATGTGGGCCAATGGTTCTGATTGATTTCCAGGATGGGAACCCGTTTGGTCCATTCTGGGACCACCTGGGTGTGGAGTTTGACCAGTCTGTGTTGTTCGGTGGTATTTCCTTCAGTGCCCACCACCATCTTCAGTGGATTAAGAAGTGAGTACACTACTGTAGAACTGTTTAGGATTATTACAGATGACCAGACCCGGCCCCATGGGGCCCGCCCATCCAGGATTTGGGCCCGCCCAGGAGAAATCAGGGCTGAATAAAACATTTAAACATTTTTATTATTATGTTTATTGTTGTTATTTGTAGGGCTTTGTCCTAATATTTATTTTTGTATTAAACTATGTTGAAAGATTAGTTTAATATCTTTTTCTATTTTGCTAGGAAATTCTGAATGAAAGTCTGCGCGCGAGACCGGTTTTTCGCTGGGTTGAGTCGTGTGTGGATTTTTTTTAAGTGTGGTTTTTTTGAGTGAGATACGGCACAGCAGCCTGTCAGTTTACTCAGGCTAGGTTAGTTTGGCTGTTATCATGTATATTTATCTGCAACAATGGATTGATATCCATTGTTGCAGATAAATATACATGAAAAGTACACATGGAAGTGGTTCACGAACAAAAAGAGCTCACAAAAGGATGGCAACTCAGCGCCAGATGCAGGCACTTTAGAAGAAATCAGTTACGTTACCAACGAGCTAGCAAGCCAGCCAGGGACAGCATCTTTAAAATAACTGTTACGTAAAGAAAAACACACAAGGGAGGCTGGCAATGAATTATATTTTGAAGAAAAATTGACTCTCAAGCCTTCTCACTAACTCCCTCGCTCAACCTCTCTCTCCCTTTCTCTCCCTCGCTTAACCTTTCTCTCTCTCTCCCTCGCTCAACCTCTCTCTCTCTCTCTATCTCCCTCGCTCAACCTCTCCACCCTGTGTTCGCTCAAGTTTGCCTGTGTGCTCGCTCAAGTTGGCACAGCGTTACAAATGTGCCACAAAACCAACCAATGGATGTATAATAAGACCGTCAACAGCCTGATGGCAACCTAAAACCCCTCAGATCGAAGATATGATTGGAGACGAAAACAGCCAATCACAGAATAAAATAAAATATGATATATATTAAAGAAAATTCAATATAAGCTTAATGCTGCGTTCACACCGGACGCGATGCGAATATTCGCTTCGCTCTAATCGCTCGAGTTTCACCGCGGCTGCCAGCTGTGTTTACTCGCATCATTCAAACAAGACGCGCTCGGGAGCTACAACTACAACAAAATGAACATATTTTACCGTGATTAAATTGTAATACACGTTTCTAAATGATGCCGACGTAACAACATACTGATACAGGTTAGTAAAAACCATGAATTAATGCTTTGACAAGTCTGCAGACAGACGGCAGGCGAAAAACCTTTTAGAATGCTTGTTTTCTGAATGGAGATTGGGTCGACCAGGCTAAGCTAACGTTGTATATGCTCACTCCACACTCATAACAACGGCCTACAGACATAAATAAAGCAGCGACTGTATTCGCCATGACACAGACAGTCTGTGGTTTGTACTTGTTTAACTTCTGTACAGTTTCTGAACAGATATGAGGAGCTGTGATCTCTGTGTGCTAACTGTTAACAGCTAACGGCTGATGTTTTCTGGTTGAACGTCAGTGACGGCAGGCTGAGATCCTCACCGATGATTGGCTTCCGCGAGAACGCGTCACGTGAATTTGACGCTCGAGTTGAAAAAGTTTAACTCTCGCGTTTGACGCGCCACTGTTCAATCGCCTCAATCGCGTGATTCATGCCGCGTCCACCGCTTCATGCTCGTCGTCGGAGCGAATTTGCGTCTGTCCGCGTCTCTGCATTGACATGTAATCGCGCCACCCCCAAACATCGCATCGCGTCTGGTGTGAACGCAGCATAAGTAGTGAAAGTAAATTGTCTATTTAAAAAAATGGAATACAAATATTTATATAAATATCAGTAAACCGGTCAGCTGCCTACATCTATTTAAGACCCCCAAAAAAATGCTATATTTAGAATATTTTCACCACTTTACCTCACAGTCAGACAGCCCTTTCTGACAAGGAGCCAAAGCCGTTATCCCAGCTCTCTTCAAAGCAACCTGGACAAAAAACACCATTCTAATTCATAGAAGAAGAAGCTTGCTGGCCTACCTTTGCCTCCATCAGTCAGTTTGTTTTTGTTAATGTGTGACGTTGGTGTTGATTGAGGCAGCGGTAGACTAGCAAAAACTGCTCTGAAAAGTGGAAATACTGTTTGAGCCGTAAAACTATTCTGAATATAGCGTACATTTACACTGTTGGCTTTTTTAGTAACTAAAATCAGTTTTGCTGCTGTACCGGTTTGTTTCTACAAACTCCACCATTTGCTGTAGGTAAAACACTGACTGTGGATAAATATCTCATACAAACATTATGGATGTAACGATATACCGAATATCGCGGTATCGTGATAAATAAACGTCTCAATACCGTCGTGAGACTGACAAAATCTACCGCGATATTACATGGTTAATTCATTTATAATAATTCCTAATTTTTTTTTTAAACCTTTGTTTAACCAGGTGGTCCCATTGAGATCATCAATCTCTTTTTCAAGGGAGACCTGTCCAACATGGCAGCAAGTAGGTTACAACATCAACATAAAACAACAGATAACACAAAAGGACATCATATTTACAGGGCTACTAGAGACATTGACAAGTACCAACAGTATATTTATATCTCGCCCTGTCAATAAGCATCACCTTCTTGGCAAAAACTATTGTTTTTGAAGTGGTGGAGAGACAATGCACAGTTTTACCCACTGCTGTCACCCATGGCCAAAGCATATCTCTCTGTCCCACAGAGGTGGCGTTAGAATTTTTCGCTGTCCGTCATTTTGACAGACAGGATCGTAACATTTACGTCATAATCCTTTATTACCCGTTGGGTCTGAACTTGCCACTAACGTGTCACGCTGAAAGCAGTGCATGAATTGGGCTCACCGGGATGGGACTTACCCATCTGGTACCGTTACTTCTTACTGAGTACCGGTACGGCGGTAGGCCTACTCAGTACTCAGTAGATGCGTCATTTCGGTTCAAATACATCTAACTCAGATGCCTTCACCACAATTGTACACAGTACATTTCTCTGAGTAAAATTGACTCAAATTGAAGAAAATGTTACTCTAAAAATATTACATTTGGTCCCAACCTATATATGTAAAATGTACTCTTTGTTCAGAGTTGTATTTTTAGAGTTCATTTTACTCTATTACGTGCCTAGATTTGACTCTGCTTAATGGTTATTTACTCTATGTAGTGTATATTAAAATTAACTCTACTGCCATTTTACTCATAGAAGGTAATTTTACTAAAAATAGAAAGTAATTTTACTCCCAATGGAACGTCATTTCACTCCAACTAGAAGGTAATTTTACTCCCAATAGAAGGTAATTTTACTCAGAATAGAATAAATTAACCATAATGATCTTTACAATAAAGAGCTTACGAAATGAAGGACAATACTGTTCTTATTACGATAATATATACTATTATTAATGGTAAATCATTTGTCATTCATGACAATATGCCCGCTGTATTTATAAATCGTGATTTATTACAACTTTCCATGCTCAATTCTGATGTTACACAACCGCTCCGAACAAAACAGCTTTCGCCGGTTAGTGTAACAATGAAGCACAAAACGCCTCTTTGTATTAAGCGAGCTGCCACATAAAGTACAGCTTAACATGCTAACCTTTGGTGAGCTACAGTAAAGCTAACTTCATGTTCAACACAAAACCTTTAACGTGCATTACGTTGACGATTTTAAACACAACTTAACGGTCTCTACTACCTCATTCACACCAACAGTGTTTCAGGGCCGGTTCGGAGCTGGAGCTTGAAAAGCACCAGGTTTTCCTGTTCACACCACAGCGGAGCAGCCTCTTAGCTCCGGAATCCGGTTCGTTTCAAGCACCAAAAAATTGTCCGGCTAGAGCAAAAGCACCGCATACGTTACGCTTACGTCGAGGCAGGGGCAGGGGCAGGGGCGGGATCAACTCCTGAACAACAACAAAAAGCCGGCGTTTTATTCAGTTTGTACACAACGATGGAGAAACTTAACAAGCAGCAGTGGTCCACTGAAGAGACCAGCTACCTACTGGGAATCTGGTCTTCTGAAGAGGTACAGAGGAAGCTGGAGCACAATCGGCCATTGTTGTTGTCGGTGTCAGCTGTGAGCGGTTTCCGCACGGTTTGGCTTTATGAAGCAGGCACGCAAACGCTTACGTCATGACGCAAATGATGACGCAATGATGCAGCACCAGTCGGACTCTAGGCGGTGTGAAAAGAGCCAGAGCTAAACCGAAGAGCCGGTTCTGAACCTGAAAAGCTCTAGCACAGAGCTTTAATATACAGTAAAGAGACAAACCCACCAGCATTATAGGATATACTCAGTGCTTGAATTGCAATAAAAAAGGTGCCATGTTGCAGTACTCTAAATCAGCAACTGTTTCAAGTCAATTTATTTATACAGCCCAAAAACAAGAATTTGGCTCAAAGTCATAGTATATCCTATAATGCTGGTGGGTTTGTCTCTTTTACTGTATATTTTAGAAAGGCTCACTGTACTTAAACAAAATGACTCAGGGTGCATCTGAGATTAGAGGGGGTGCAGGGGTAAAGTGATATTTTTACAAGTGGGGAGTGGATCTAACACAAGATTTTTTTTTTTAATGTTGAAGTTAAATGCATCAATCTGGTGCACTTTGAGAGCAAAATTAAGAGAATTATGGATACATCTCAACATCCATATGAAACAGAACTGTAAACAGATTTACTATTTCTTTATGGATATTTTACAAACCACTCCCCTTTTAAACTCTATTCTGGTTTTACTGTCATATACACTGAACAAAAATATAAATGCAACACTTTTGTTTTTGCTCCCATTTTTCATGAGATGAACTCAAAGATCTAAAACATTTTCTATATACACAAAATAACCATTTCTCTCAAATATTGTTCACAAATCTGAAAAAATCTGTGATAGTGAGCACTTCTCCTTTGCCGAGATAATCCATCCCACCTCACAAGTGTGGCATATCAAGATGCTGATTAGACAGCATGATTATTGCACAGGTGTGCCTTAGGCTGGCCACAATAAAAGGCCACTCTGAATTGAATGTTAATTTCTCTACCATAAGCCGTCTCCAAAGGCGTTTCAGAGAATTTGGCAGTACATCCAACAACCGCAGACCACGTGTAACCACACCAGCCCAGGACCTTCACATCCAGCATGTTCACCTCCAAGATCGTCTGAGACCAGCCACTCAGACAGCTGCTGCAACAATCGGTTTGCATAACCAAAGAATTTCTGCATAAACTGTCAGAAACCGTCTCAGGGAAGCTCATCTACATGCTCGTCGTCCTCATCGGGGTCTCGACCTGACTCCGGTTTGTCGTCGTAACCGACTTGAGTGGGCAAATGCTCACATTCGATGGCGTATGGCATGTTGGAGAGGTGTTCTCTTCACGGATGAATCCCGGTTTTCACTGTTCAGGGCAGATGGCAGACAGCGTGTGTGGCGTCGTGTGGGTGAGCGGTTTTCTGATGTCAATGTTGTGAATCGAGTGGCCCATGGTGGTGGTGGGGTTATGGTATGGGCAGGCGTATGGTATGGGCAGGCGTATGTTATGGACGACGAACACAGGTGCATTTTATTGATGGCATTGTGAATGCACAGAGATACCGTGACGAGATCCTGAGGCCCATTGTTGTGCCATTCATCCACGACAGCGTGTTCCAGTTCCTGCCAATATCCAGCAACTTGGCACAGCCATTGAAGAGGAGTGGACCAACATTCCACAGGCCACAATCAACAACCTGATCAACTCTATGCGAAGGAGATGTGTTGCACTGCGTGAGGCAAATGGTGGTCACACCAGATACTGACTGGTTTTCGGACCCCCCCCAGACCCCCCCAATAAAGCAAAACTGCACGTTTCAGAGTGGCCTTTTATTGTGGCCAGCCTAAGGCACACCTGTGCAATAATCATGCTGTCTAATTAGCATCTTGACATGCCACACCTGTGAGGTGGGATGGATTATCTCGGCAAAGGAGAAGTGCTCACTATCACAGATTTTTTCAGATTTGTGAACAATATTTGAGAGAAATGGTTATTTTGTGTATATAGAAAATGTTTTAGATCTTTGAGTTCATCTCATGAAAAATGGGAGCAAAAACAAAAGTGTTGCATTTATATTTTTGTTCAGTGTAGTATTTCATTTTTAGTGAGTTACTCAGATGAGTACCAGGAGACAGCGTTTGGTACTCTGGTACAATTGTGGTGAAGGCAGCTCAGTTAGATGTATTTGAACCGAAATGTCTACAGGCCTAGCAGAAGATGGCATCTTTTTTACAGGAAATTCCAGCCAATCTCTGTTTTTAAACCATGAGCTGCAAAATGAGCGCCTTACCCCACTGTACAGACGAGTTGGGAACTTGTTTAAATATACCTGGGCAGGCTCTGTTTTGCCGAGGTCCTCTGGCACTTGCGGGCCACCGAGGGGTGGCGGTGTTTGGGGCGACGAAGACTGCTGCTCCGGGGGCGGGCAAAGCGGTGGCGGCACCTCATGACGCATCTACTGAGTAATGTGTACCGCCGTGCCGGTACTCAGTAAGAAGTGAGTACCGGCCCAATTCAAGCACTGGATATACTATATGACTTTGAGCCAAATTCTTGTTTTTGGGCTGTATAAATAAATTGACTTGAAACAGTTGCTGATTTAGAGTACTCGCACCTTTTTTATACCAATTCAAGCACTGAGAGAAAGAGAGCACGCTCGTGAACTGATGTTTTATTGAGAAGATGATCACTACGTGACAGAAGTTTTCAAAACCGTTTATGTTCCCTGGTACTTCCAGTCCAACGCCTACTGTTAGAAAATCAGGCCTTCAAACGCGACCCACCAGTTGAGAACCACTGCTCTAATGGGTCCGACTAAAATGACAAATAGCGTTAGTTCCACCTATTCCGTCACCGAAGAAATCATTTAATCATTTTTTTTTTTCAGGGGGGCCACAGGGGGGTCCAAAGTCAGTGTTAGGCCGGCACTGCCCCCCCCCCCCCCCCCCCCTCATCTCACTCCTAACACATTTAAATCTACTTTCAGCAAAGATAAATGTTCATAAAATACATCCATTGTTTGTTTTATATGCTTCTTGAAATCCTAAAAAACACATTGTTTTTCTAGAACAGATTACAAATCGCCTGAAAATGGTACAAACAAGTGGCTACATGTTTGACGAAGGTGTTGCGCTGGGCTATATCTTGCAATCGAAAGTGAAACTTAAACTCGCTCCATTGCGGAGATATTCCCGCGAGAGTGCGGAAAACTTAAATGAATTCACCCCCCCCCCGTTGACAGGGGTCGCCAGTCTCTGGCACTGTTATTTTGAGGGTCGCGGGCTGAAAAGTTTGGGAACCCCTGGTCTACAGTATAGAACATCTACAGTCGAATATATTTATTTATATACTATTACAATACACATTATTACAGTATTTCAAATTCTACATTCTGTTTTTATCTTATCTTACTCTATATGTATATAGTTTACTCATACATTACATCACTTTACTTTCTTTGCAACCCCTTAAAGCGCTTTACATCAGCATTTGCCCCAGTAAAAAGCAGCTTCTCTTCATCCTTCTGCTGTGTTCTAGGTTCCCCCCCTCGGAGCACCCGGTCCTGGCCCTGCCGGGGGCTCCTGCTCAGTTCCCGGTGACGGAGGAGCATGTGAGCCTGCAGCGCTACGTGGTGTGGTCAGACAGCATGGTGGGGGAGGGGGAGAAGCTCATCGCTGCCCTGCTGACCCGGCCCTACGTCAGCCTTCACCTGAGGATCGGCAGCGACTGGGTGAGATGTTTATCACAACTCATAAGCTAAGTTTGGACATATAAGGTTGTTCACAGATATATATGATCTCTCCTCTGGTTCACTGAGAAATTAAATCAGCAACACTAACATTCATTAAGATAAGCATGCCTTATTTTATTGAGGAAATGCACTTGTATCAAATATTTAACCTTTCACAAAAAACACTTGTCCTCCTTGAATTTAAAATTGTATTGATCATGTAAACCAGGGGTGGGGAACCTCCGGCCCCCGGGCCGTATACGGCCCGCGAGACCATTTGGTGTGGCCCTCGAGGTAATTTATAAACACACGCAAAAAAGAAAAAAATTTAAGAAATCTAGACCGCAAAATAATTAAACAAGTGAGTGCCTGTTTTTCCTGGCCAAGGTCAGGGTCCTTGAACACAACACAAGCCTAACGTGTCATCACGTGGTATATGTCTCGTCTGACAGGGGTGTAGTTCTGACGGAGAGCACCAGAACGCCGCTCCGCTCCGGCACTTCCAAACATTGCAGTACCCATAAGGAGCCGTACACATGCTGCAGTTTTTGCGTGGCTGTGTCTTAGTTGTAAGCCCAGTGGCGATCTGTTCATCTGTCATACAGTCAATAACTGTGTTGTTATTAGCATCTGGTTAGCTAGCTATGCTAACGAATATAAGAAGCTTTTTCTACAACCAGTGAGGCAAAGGCACATCTTTATATGATCATTATAGTTATAAAACAAATAAGAGAATAAAGTAAGCAGGTATAAAATACTATATGACAGTAAAAAAAAGTTGTTATTAATAAACAAGAATACAGTTTGAAAGGAGAGTGATTTGTAAAATATCCATAAAGAAAAAGAAAATCTGCTTACAGTTGTGTTTCATCTGGGTGTTGAGAGATGTATCCATAGATCTCTCTCAAAGTGCACCAGATTGATGCTGTTAGGGTTAGGGTTACACTGGGTTTTTTAACTTCAACATTTAAAAAAACAAATCTTCCCGGGGGAGCATGCCCCCCGGACCCCCCTAGAGGAGGTTAGGTCCCCCCCCACTTAAATCATGTTCACATGGATAGGAGTCTAAATACATTTGCACACATCTTGTGTCCATATCTTTCTGTTTTGGTGGTCATGCCACAACCGTGCACGTGCATGCATGCGTGAGTCATGGCAAGATATCTGGATTAAGAGGTTGCTTTTTCTTTGCACAGCATGAAAGAAAGGTGAAATGAGTGGGCTGTGATTTTAGTATTTTTAAGCTAGGTCAATAATTTGTACGGCCCTCGGAGGATGTTGAAAACATTGAAATGGCCCTTGAGAGGAAAAAGGTTCCCCACCCCTGATGTAAACCAACGTGTATGAGTAGGGTTGGGTATCATTTGAATTTCCACGATTCTGATTCCGATTCCGATTCTACTTTTCGATTCCGGTTCTTAACGGTTCTTAATTCCGATTCTTTGAGGGGCAGGGTAAAAAAATGATACATGCTTCTTCCACCAAAAAAATTACATTTATTCGAGAAACTTTTACACAGGTTAGTATACAGTAATATTCACATGAATCAGTCTGTTTATATTCACTGCTATGTAACTTTAACCTGAGAACCACTGAAGCTACAACAGTGCAACAGTCCAACTTTTAAAGAACAGTTCTTGTTGAGAAAAACAAGCATATCTGCCTTCTCAGGCATACCAGGAAGAAATGTTTGAACATTTTAAAGTAAAATGCTTCAATCTGGTGCACTTTAAGCAGAATTACTAGATCTAGGGGGTACAACTCTAAACACCCATATGAAAAAGATTGGTTTACATTTTAATAATCAAATAAGTATGTGAGCATAACCAATAACCCATAGCCAATAACAAATACATGGAACGTATTTTATTTTTGTTGTTCATTCAGATCTTATTTTACTATTTTATTTATGCATATTTTTGTATCTCTCCAGTTTAAAACGATATGTCTGGTTTACTGTCCTATAGTATACATTGGAATGATTTCAAACCTGTTTTATCCCAATAATTATAAAGGAGTGCCTTGGAAATATGTGTTTACATAAATTGTGATCAAAACGTTTGAGACCCACTGAGACAACTTAGACAAAAGTGAACTATCTAAACACTCAAGAGTCCTTTACCTCACTGAGCTGTAGTCATCAGCCTCAGTCTGACTGGACTGGAGAGGACTCTCCCTCCACATCATTGTAGAAACATCTTCTTCTTCCGTTAGAGCAGCTAGCACCACATGCTAATAACAACAGCGCCCTCCCTTTCTCCCTCGCTCTCTCCCACGCTCACTCGCATTTTGGCTGTGAGCTGCGGGTGCCAGATAATCCAACATCCCCCATTTTCATCACTGACAGCGGCCATCGTACAGGGCAAATGAAAAGTGTAACCGGGGTGAAAAGGGTGTTACATTTACTTAATTATGAATGTTGTTACATCAAGGCCAAAAATTAGGATGAGCACCAACGGTCAAAACATTTGTTTTTCCTCCCAGAGCTGTCAGCGCAGCGCCTCCACAGATCTGGCGCCCTAGGCGAACATCTATAATGCCAGTGCAACGGGCCGGCCCTGGGGCCTCATTTATAACGCCGTGCGTAGGATTCACGTGGGAAGGTTGCTTATGTAGTAGAAATCCGAAAAATAGGTACAGAAATTTTCCGACATTTTCCGATTCACCAAACATTGCGTACCGGCGAGGAAAGTGCGTACAGCACTTCCTACGCCGGTTTCCCTTTATAAATCACAATCGACTCGAAATGTGGTGCAGCTTTTGCGGGCTTCACGTAACGCCCATATTTGCCTATAAATAGTCAATGAAACGCCCATTCATTCATTCATTCATTCTGACTGACTGCATGAAGAAGATCGCAGGAAATGACGACAGAACAGCTAAAAAAGACATCTCACACCGTGTCAGATTCTGGTTCTTTTGGGGAGGTGGAGATAAATCATATTGTTTGGTGGATGCCGTTTGAACCAGAGTAGCAGCATGGAGGTCGGATCGTCACCAAAATAAATAAATAAGTGGTCTGAAAAAGGTTCATGACAAAAAAAATACACATAGCCTTCCTCAGGCAGTGTGTTTGTACCGGGGACAGGAGACCCCCCCTTGATGAGAGACTGTAAGAAATTATCGGGGAATCCCTCCGGAGTGGAGTCATGTCGATTGGATCTGAATTATGTTTTTGTATTTGGTGGTTTGTGTCCCAGCTGTCGATCAGCTGTGCGCAGCGTCTCCACTGCAGCAACTCTATATCCACCAGTTAAAGGAAATACAACTAATGTGTTGTGTTATATTAGCTGTACAATTTACCACATATGGTGTTCTTAGCTTCCATACCTCCTGTGTTTTATGAGCGACTTATCAAGTCTTAGCAAACGGCATAAAACATGATTAAACATGGTAGTATATAAAACCATGCTCGTACAACCTATAGAAATGCAAAACCGCATAATTTATGAGAAAACATTTCATAACATTAACACAACATATTCGAGGTGGTTTTAAATAACATATCCGTATTTATTTATTTCTCCAAGTTATGTTTTTGTGTGCACTGAGGAGTCTCAAACAAGCGTTTGTTTCATCATTTTAAGATTGGCTTTAATCAATGTTTGAAAATGAATTCTTCATATATGATAAATGAGAGGTAACGTTTTATTTATGGTATTATTTCCACATATTTCTCTCCATTCTTCCTTCTGCCAACGGTGTCGCAGTTTCTCGTCTCTCCCGTTTTTGTGCTTAGTGCGTACGCATGGGTTAGAGTTTGCGTGGAGGACCACACGTTTTCCCGTCAAGTTAGTATTTTATAAATCGCAAACATTGCGTAGAAACTGGCGTACGCCATTTTTTGAGCGTATATCCCTTTATAAATGAGGCCCCTGGTCTCAGGTTACGCTGTAGGAAGTGTAGGTACAACGCTACATTTCCCGCCCTGCCGCAGTCATACAGTAGGCTACGGAGAGCGGCGAGAAACATTTCCTCAGGCATCGAAAAGCGGAACCGAAATTCACATTTTTAAATGATGCCGTTGGAATCGAAATGTTGGAACCGGTTCCGAACCGGAACCGGTTCTCGGTACCCAACCCTACCGAAGCACAGCACGGCTGCAACTACTTAACCCCAAATAAAATAACCCAATAAAAAGAGTTATTAAATAATAGTGAATTCACGTTGTAATAACAATAACTCATCTCTCTCGCGTTTTCTTTTTGTGATTTGCCAAAAGCCACTGTGTCCTACTTGGGTTGCCGTCCGGAGTTGTCCAATATGGCGGACCATCTCGCACATGCGCACTGCAGATCGGGCAGAGCTGCAGATCGGGTAGTGACAGGGGGGAGTCTCCCTCCGCAGCCGGTTGCCGTAGTTTTGGCACAATTCCGTACAGACCGACGTTAACAGCAGCCCTGTCTGTGCACACGGAGACCGACTCTGTCGTCCGGTGATCTAACCGCCTTCTGGAAAAGCTTCACAAGTACGTCGGTACGCAAATGCGCTTTGTGACACAAGTGACGGTACGCATTTCAGATTGTTGCCGCGCATGCGTACCTGCGTACCAGTTATGTGCACCCCTGGATATATATATAAACACTAGATGGCTCAAGGGGGAGTCGCCAGCGTAGCTCACCGGTGGCCATCTTGCCACAGTCAACAACTACTGCTACAGCTGTTGTAAGGTGAGTGATCTGCACAAATATACTCTTAACTCGCTGAAATCTTGACTGATTTACAAATGGTTTGGTTTATTATAAACGTTATTAGCATGGCTGTGATACAGGAGACAACAAGACATGTTGAAATGATTATAAGTATGCAGTATCATAACTACATCTTTGATGTTTATAACAAACCAAACCGTTTGAAAGTTGGTTGAAAATTGAGCAATCTACGGTTATTTCAATAGTGCACCATAGACATAATGTTATGAATGAGCGAGCTGCCTGTGGCAAGATGGCCGCCATGTGGCAACGTCGGTCTCCATTGACCAGCAGCGCGGGTGAGTCATC